CATCACTGCTAGCAGGCAGTGATATTACAGATATATTACAGTCTGTACTGAACATATTACAAATAATGAACCTTCTAAAAACCTTCAAGTTATAATCAGAGCAAGGCTGTTGAGCTCCAACACCCAAAACAGTTTGCAAATAACAGTGATATCCACAGAGCTAGTAAAAGCTGTCAGCAGACATACCAAATGTCACCTAATTATCAATGTACCAGGAGGAAATAAAGGAAATAAAGAGGAAATAATAACAAACCAAAACCAGCCAGTAGATTTGACTGGAAGACAAGTGATGCAAGTGAAAGGCATCACACCACACAACTAACGACTCATAGTAAGGGTGAAGTGTCATGCACACCACACAAAAGCATTTGGAGCTGACTATGGGGAACACAGAAAAAACATACTCAGTAACAGGTCAGTTGGAGCTTTGACCTGGAAATCAATGAGACACAATAAATGACTTTCAATGTGATCTTTGTTGTCACTCTGGAGCTGGAACTGCAAATTGCTAGACAAGAGAAAACCTGCCACTTCAGATAACCATTGGGCTGCTCAGAATATAGTGGAATTATTTCTGAGATAGCTGTCTTAGATGTTTGCAAAGTTCAGTATAGACCATTAAGAAACAGAAAATGCTTTAATTGCTACAGTGGTAGCTCTACTATGAAAGCAGCCAGTCACTCATCACTAACACAGTGCCAAAGGGTAAGGATAAAGGAAAAGGTGGTTGTGGCCAATTTTTGTCAAAGGGAATTGCTGATAATGTGGAAGTGAAATCATAGAAAAGGCTTTCCCTGTTACTTTGTCACCTTATTCACAGTGCCTTGAGGGGTCAAGCCTTCTTAGCTTCCTATAATGTGCCATGGAGATGGTTTTGGGTTTTGGGTTGTATTTGTGGTCTTTTTTTGTTTGTTTGTTTTTCCTGTTTCCATGTTCCCCAGGGAGGACAGGTAGGCCTTCTCACCTCGTATCAATGGATCCCCCTCTACTATATCATTTTAAGCAAGTGTAATTTCTTTCGGATGTTGACTCTTCCTCATTTTTTTCAGTTAACAAAAGGCATATCCTGTTATGACTATGTTCTACTTATCCTGTGCATTTGAACTTTCCCTAAACCTTCCTTTCTATGGAAATTTTTTAAAGTGTGTGTGGCAGGTTCTTTAATTCATTTTTAGCTGTAGCACAATATTGAATTTGGCTGCCTGATTAAGACTAACATTTACATGACATTTAGGGTACACTATTTTCTAGACTGTCTGTCATGAGTTGATGGATGGAAAAAAGCCTGGATGTGAAGTTTTGTATATTCATCTGGAAGAAGGGAGTGGGGACTGCTTGGATTGGAAGGGGGAACAATTTAGGGCTTAGATAGTGCTACTCTCCTGTGCATAAATATTTGGGGAAAAACATCTGAACAGAACACATATTACTACCCTGCACCCAGATCCTTTATCCCTTTAGATGAATACATCTTTATTAAAAACTCTGGAGTATTTTTTAACATTTATATACAAAACCAGTATATTTAAGAACTGTGGCTGGGAATTTCAATTTGAGTTTAAGGTATTCAAATCTTAACAAAATAGGGTTTTGGCACCCATTTCCCTTTGCAAATTTAGTTTTCATTCATGCACTAACAGTACCTGCATATGACAAACCAAATAAAAGTTGCTCCCTATAAACAAACAATTTCAGTCTCAAATTCACCATATTGTTTTAATAACTTATTGTATTTGCTAGATACTAATGTTAAGACAAAATGCTAAGAATTTATTTAAACACTAGACTCTATGTGGACTGTTGCTCACTTGCAATCGGATTTTCCCATGAGAACTTGAGAACTGCTTCTGAAATGACCCACAGGAAGCTCTACCCGTTTGTCAAAGGATACTGTCTGGTATTAATTTTAGTAAGTTTTAAAGAGAAAAAGAGAGACAGAAGGAAATGGGAGGGGGGAATGGGCTTGCATTTTATCTTGATCCTTGTAACAGACATAGCATTCTGTGCCAAATAGACATACTTGATTTAAAAGCGAAAACTGCCCTATGATTTTGAACTCTGATGAGTTAAATTCTTAGTCCATCTTCCCAGATAGTTAATGCAATACAAAAACAGGCAAGGGAGCTGATCTGGAGATAAGCAAGTACACTCCTTACTTCTTTGCTTTTTCTCGTTACTCAACCAGAATGAGATGAGAGCAACAGCAGGTTATGGAAGACAGCTTTACAGGATGAGTCTGTGTCTCACTTAGTATTTATTCTAGGACTTGAAACTAACCATGCTCCATGCCAGATGGACAAGACAGAAGTAGCAAACAGGGTGGCCCTAATAGCCTGCCTTCTCCTCCATTTCCAAAATATCCCCATTGTGCTTTTTACCCAGGTACATTATCTTTCAGATAGTGTTATACCTAACTGCTGTGATCAGATACCTTTCCTGCTTGTCACACTAGAAGGTCTTTTTTTAGTATATCTTCAGCCTATTTTGTCCTATTGCAGAGCACGGGGAAGAACACATAAATGTACAAATAAAGATATTTGTACAAAAGTATAAAGACAAATGTACAAAGACATTTTCCTGCTGAAATCACAAAAAAAAATCACATTATATTCTACTTCTGCCACTTTATGTCCATTCCAATCGTACATTTGAAAATGCATATTATAGGTATGACTTGCATGCACAGCTATGTCAACCCAATGTAATAAACACCCTTCCACACACTCTACTGAAAGTTTGGTTCATTCTGTACTACATGTGTGTACAGTTCCAAAATAAATAAAACTAATAATTAAAAAGTTGGTCTGATTCTGCATATGCATGATGACAGCATGCTTAGTAATGTGATCTTATCTTTTTTTCTTGGGACCATTATGGAGTCTTTGCCATGTCTCCTCAATCTTCCTGCCTTCTGCCTCATCTTTGTCAGTATGACTTCTTCCCAGCCTTTTTGCTTTCCTTCTTTAGGGGTTTTCAGGCTTGTCCTTTTCACTGTATCTAGATAGTCTATCCTTAGGCTGAGCAACTTTGAGAACAGCTGCTCTACTGCAACTATGGGACACAACTGTTTTGGTTGCGGGTGTTATGCTCTTAGGGCTGCAGGTCCTGTCTCTGCATCTGATTTAGTAAATAGTGTTCAATGGACATGAACTCTGGCCTCCATGTGTTCCTGAACCTCTTTCAGACTCAGAAATCTTCCTCACAGGAAACGTAAGTTTTATTGATCTTTGGCTGTGCCTTGCAGCAATGCAGATCTGTGAAATATACTGGACTACATGAAGGGGAAATGTTCTGTAAGCACAGTTTTCTTCCCCACAGTCATGTGGAACTACGTGAGACAAGGTTTCAGAAAGTGTTAGCAGAAGTGTGTATCCTGGTTTCAGCTGTAACAGTTATCTTTCTTCCTAGGAGCTGGTGCAGTACTGTGTTTTGGCTTTAGTCTGAGAATAATGCTGATAACATCCCAATGTTTTAGTTGCTGCTGAGCAGCACTTACCCCGATCAAGGACTTTTCAGTCTCATGCTCTGCCAGTGAAGAGTGGCACAAAAAGCCGGGAGGGAGCAGAGACAGGATGCCTGACCCAAACTAGCCAAAGGGGTGTTCCATACCACAGCACATCATGCCCAGGATATAAACTGGGGGAAATTACCTGGAAGGGATGAAGCACTGCTCTGGTCAGACTGGGTATAGATCAGTGGGTGGTGAGCGATTGTACTGTGCATCACTTGTGTTTTCTGAGCTTTCATTTCTTCTCTTGTTGTTTCTTCTAATCATCATTATTGTTATTGTTGGTATTCTTTCTATTATCACTATATTTTACTTTATTTTAGCTATTAAACTGTTCTTAACTAAACCTGTGGGTTTTATATTCTTTTGATTCCCCTCCCATTCCCACCGAGGGTGGGGGGAAAAGAGAGTGTAAGAAAGCAGCTGCATGGTGCTGAGTTACCGGCTGGGGTTAAACCACAACAGTGTGTAACAACAATGAAGCTCCTGGGGTTTAAAAAAAATAAGTACCCTGAATTGTCTTTGTATTATTGATCTGTTTAGATCTCTGAAACAATTTTCTTTCACAAATTTCTTTACCATTACACTATTCATCCTAAAAACTGAACTACAGAACAGGGCTTTTTCTCCATCTTGTTTTTTCCTGGTTAATGCTTTGACATTCATTTTCAAAGACAACTCTAATTAATGAAGGGTACAAGACTGAACCATGTGTATCACTCATAGTTGCCAGAGAAAAATAAGCTCTGCACACACAGTGGTATTCTGTCAACTAGAATATGTGACATGTTGCAAAATACAAAGTCTTTGCCTGCAAAGGAATAATGATTCTTTGTTCTGAAAACTCAGTGTAAGAAAATGTACCCTATGAAAACGATACACACTGGGGTTTGTTAACTTAGCATAAGTCAAGAGCTTAAAAAAGAAATTTTTTTTTTTTTTTTTTTTTTTTTGGTCAGAGATGGTTGCAGGAATTAGAAAGTTTTATTTACAGATGCCATTACAATCCCTTATACTGGAAAGAGCCATATGAAAACAACTCCCCTTATGAGCCCTACTTTCAGTCTTCATTTCCCTTCTACAGAGCCTATAGCTATATAATAGCTTTATATTAAGAAAATCTAACAATTATTTTATGTCTCTCCTTTGTTTAGCTTTGTATTGCCCTTGCCACCTTCTGCACTACTATTCTTCTTGTGTTGCATCAGCCCTGGCACTAATCATAGAATCCCAGAATGGTTATGGTTGGAAAGGCCCTTAATATCATCTAGTTCCAAACCCCCCTGCATACAGGGGTATATTTCTTTCTTCAACTTTGCACTGCATTAACTGCATTTGGAATACCCTCATGATATAAACTACATGCATACTCATACAAAAGGAAAAACAGTTGAAATCATGTTAGTTATAATTCAAAGCACTAAAAAAAAAACCCCCCAAAAAAACCTAACCCTCCCCCCCCCCCCCAGAAAACCACGCCAAAAACCAAAGCAGGAAACAGCAGAATGAAGATTGCCCAGGTGACAGCAGCATGACCCTAAAAGAAGTTAATAATAAGTTTCCAAAAAGTCTCAGAACTAATTGCTGAGAGCATAGGAAAAAACCCACTTGGGACTCATGGGTTCAAAGCAACATTCAGGAGAGCATTGTTTAGATAAACTATTTGATTCCTAAGGGCTTGTTTCCATCTCATTTCTTCTTGCACCTCCTCCTCCTCATGGCTTTCCTCTTATCCTGATGTTTCAAATCTCTGCTCCAGAGAATGAAAGACTCTAGAGATCCCTGGTGGACTTATGAAAAAATAAACTATGGAGAAAAACAATGCAGTTTTCCCTAATCTTGTTTTTGGAAACATCTGTGCCATTTAATCTGAAACATTACAATGAAAAAATTCAGACTAAGACAGACATGGAAAATATCCTTATAAACAGCTCAAATTTGGCAATGTTAATTCAAATGAAAATAAAGCCTTATAAAGGGATCTCTTAGGAAACCTTGAATTTAAGAGAGGGGCATTTAACAGCTTTGCATGTAATGAAAGTCTACATAAAACCAGTATAATGACTCTGCATAACAAGCATCACAGCAACGTGTTATGCATTTTTTTGTGGATTGTATGGCCTCTCTAAGCTCAATCTGTATGCAAGTAAGAAATAAAAGATTGTCCAAACTTAGAAGAAAACAACTTAGTAATGACAAAATAAAGACAAGTCTGGTGAAAACCTCAGACACCCCAAGCCAACCATTACTTTAAAAGCAAAGGAAATAAAGGAGGCAGTTTTTAATTACTAGCAGTAATCTGCATGAGTAAGAATTTCAGTCTAGAAGAAAATAATGCCACAAACTGGCAAGGCACTAGCTGTGTTTGTTGGCTTAGAAGCACTTTCTTTCCATTACTGAAAACCTACAAGTAGGATTCTCCAGCAACAATGTTATTTCCATCTTAAAAGATGAACATGAAACCTCAAAATCTATCAGATACACTCTATCAAACAACTAATAATCTTCACAGGCAAATCACTTAGAAATGCATTAGGTTTTAAGTGGAATGCATTTGCAAGAGATTCCAGTAACTGTCAGAGCTAAATGTTTCCTTAACTTTTTGTTTATGCACAAAAGAAGATAAAAATATTTAGAAGAGAATGAAGTTATGAGCCCAGAACATGTGCCATGGGAAATCTAAACCTGAATGCAGTTGAAGGACTATCCAAAAGGGACTGACCCAAAGAATCCCTCCGTCACACAGCAGTTGAAGAGGAAAACCAGGTGGGACATACTGAAATAAAACAAGTGTACTGACTTTCCTGGAAGACTCAGACAACATTACAGGAATATTCCAGAAAAAAATTATTTTATTTCTAATGTGTTAGAAATAAATGCCTCTGTTCTAGTACCCAGCACATAACCAAAGCAGTGGGACATGTAGTCAAGTAATTAGTGCTGGGGAATTAAACCACTGCAGAGATGCTCTTCATTCTTAGAACTGTAACATCCCCTGCATACCGGGTATGGTGAGTGGGTCATCTCGGAAACTTGATTTCTCCCTCTCTAGTTGCATGCAGGAAGCTATTAAGGATCTTTACTCTGTCTTACAAAGGGAGTTAGCAGCAACAAAAATGAAGTAGTCTCTGTATAGCATCTGGCTACCCTGGAATGGCAAAACTTTACTGACCCCCTTCTCTTTAGAAAACAGTGACTCCCTAAATCCTACCCCTAAAAATTATTAGAGTGGCTAAATCTTGGAAAAGCCATTTTAGCCAAGGCACTATGATTTTTCTCACTGCAGTGAAAGCAGATAGATAAAAATTAGATCACTCTCAGCTGAAGCCAGTAAGAAGCTATTGGCCCCAGTTTAAGTAGTTCTGAGGGGCAGTTCTTGTAACATTTAGAGGAGCAACACCTGACCAACATCAAATGCCAATCAGCTGCATCTAGTGTGGACAGAGGATCCTTGAAAACCTCAGCAATGACCTGCTAATTGATACCAGAGTATGAGATATGTCTTGTGATAATTTGAGTGAATTTTGTGGTAAAGAATGAAGTTCAAATGAATTCCCTCTCTCCTGTAAAATTTGGAGAGCTGTCAGTTGCCCCTTAGGTTAGAAAAGGAAATGAAAGAAAAGTCTGAATTTTAGGACAATGAAATTACAGTCCCGCCTTACTCCATGTCCCTAATAATACTGTACATGTCTGCTTCCCAGCTGGATGAATAAAACTTAGAATCTAAATCAGGCAAAATACATGTGCCCATATAAGCCCTGTAACAAACAGGTAAGTACAGACCCTTAAACCTGCTAGCCAGTGCTCCCCACTGTTCTTCAGTATTGATTAAATATTGCTGTTTCCATACACTATTTGGCCAGGAAATTATTTTAAAACAAGGAGGGTAAATTCATCTTCCTGTATAAACTGTGCTCATTTGTTAATTTGTTCTGGCATTCAGGTGTTTGTCTGGCTCTCACAGGTAAGCACTGAATCACCTAAGAATGCAACTCTTCCCACTGGACCATAGAAGAGTCTATGCTCCCATTTATTCAGCAAATGCCAGTTTCTCAGTCAAACCATAGAAATCCTACGGATCCAGTGGAATATACTTCTTCAAATGGGTTCCTGAAAGTCTGTTTTTGTCATAAGTCTCTGGCAGTGAAACTTGGAAAAGCCAAATCAAATTTCTTCTTCATTCATCACAAAAGCAAAAATCAAAGCCATTGTAAAGACCAATAGAAAGTTGTCTTAATTTTAGTCAAATGACAGGCTTTCCACTCACCTTATCAAGTGTGTGGAGTTTCTTTTTTTATGAGATTCTTTTTCATCTTTGCTGGAAAAAAAAAAAGAAGAAAAAAAAAGACTTTAATCACAGTACTTGATTTGCAATAAGGTCATATACAGTGTCTTAAAATTCCTGGAGAACTGCACAGCTCTGAAGCAGAGACTGAAAGAGGATCAATGTCTGGTTCTACTTATCCCTTTCTAAGGTTCTGTTTTCCTTAAGCTGTGGCTGGGTTGCTTGGCATAAAACTTCCTACTTGCAGTGCTTATCAATGTTTTCAGCAAAGTACTGAAGGTGGTGTACAGTTAGCAGACTTGGCATCTGAGTAAGTATTCTAGGCTATAAAGCAAAATCTAGCTACTAATTTGGGGTCCATCTTTTTTTTTTCCTCTCACGTAAGACCAGACATAGGTCATTTTGTACGAAAAACTATTCATGTGCTTAAAGCTAAGCATAATTTCAAGGAACTTGCTGTTTGGCACATACAATTTTTTTTGCAATACGACTTTATAATACATATTTACACCGTATTGCTTCCAGTTACTGCTTCCAGTTTTCCCTCAACAACCCCTCCTCTCAGACCTCACAGAACAGAATGCATGTGGAAGTTACCCAGGCAACAAAAACAATGAATCCAACTTCATATGTATTATATGTGAACCAAAGAACACGTACGTGTGGTTGGATACTGTGTTTGCATGGCTCTCCAGTGGAAAACAGTGGATGCATGCCTAAAATCCTTACAGAAAAGGGAGGTTCAGATTAAAAAAAACCATGGGGGTATGTGAGACTACAGTCTAGGTCATTATACCACTGTGTTGTAGTACTTTCATTAATAGCTCATGAGAGGGTCTTCAGGGACACTACGTAATTTAATGTGTCAATACTGGGCATGCTAAATTGAATACTGTAATGAGTATTACTCTTAGGTTCTGTTTATTTTCAGACTATGAACTTAAAGCAACTGAGCTGCTGCTCTGGAGTCTGAGAAAGGTAAAAAGGAAACTTATGGACAATGAAAACTACATCCACTCTTACCATGGTGTTTTGCAGGAAGACTCTTCACACAAGGCAAAATTAAATTTACATTCCTATTAAGATATAAACATTCTAACATTTTATTTTTAAAATAAAGCCATGCCTTTCTATCCTAAAGTTGATATTCTTAGTTTCACTGTTTTAAAAAGTACAAACCGGATTAGATGGAATGTAAGTTGTGTTTAGTTTCGTGGACAACTACAATTCACCAAAAAAACTAATTCCTAACATACCAAGTACGTCTCTCCTGGATATGCTGCTGTCAGTTTCCATTTTTCTTGAAAGAGTTTTGAAATAATATGAATTTTTGCAAACACTAAACACAACTGCAAAAGAAGAATTCTTTATGGTTTACAGGAAACAAAAACCAAATAAAGCAGGGAAAAGAAACCCCAAAACAAAACACCCAAGACCTGAAGCACTGTCAGCTTTGTCTGCAATATATTATTTTTTAAAATAATTAGGTTATAATTCCAAACATATTGTCACTTTGACTTTAAAAAATATTAAACTTTTTATTTCAAAATTTCTCTCCTATTCTAGATTAGTTTACAATTTGGCTAATCTGGATAATCTCGATTAGCATTTTTTGGCAATAATGATTGGTTTTTAATCCACCTTGAGTTGTGCCTGTGAAAGTGCATGTGCATAAAGGCATGTTCAGCACAGGTGGTGTAAAGAGAAGAGAATTAGTCTGTATGAAAGCTATGCTGTTTATAGCACAGTTCCTCACAGGTAGATATACAGAATAATACACTGACAAGAGAGCAGCTTTCAGGAATACTCACACGGTACCTCTCTACCACCAGCCCTCTGTACCATTCTCAGGACACCTGGTGCAGCATTAGAATTCAAAAGCACTTAAATTTGGTTGTGGAAGCAAATTAAAACTCTGGATTGTGATATATTTCTGCTTCATTTCAGTTTATCTTGGTGAACCTTTTACAGGAAGTAAGAGAACTAAATGGAGAAAAGCCTGAAATCATCCATACAATCTGACCAAACCAGGGTTAGGGTGCTAGTTTTGGTTTCCTTGCAGAAGCAAATACCGTTCTGGTACTATGTGCAGCCACTTCTGTGCCAGCTGAACAGTACAGGACATCACCAAGAGCAGCAGAATGTGGACTTCACTCTCTTAGCGCTTTTCCCTAATTAGTGTGTATACCTGCAAATCAATTAGTTTAGAGGACTTACTCCTCAGGCAGCCACTGTGGCTCTAAAGTAGTATGGTAAACTCCATGGAGCAAACAGCTTTCAAGAAGGAGGTATGTCTGTAAAGAATAAAGAACGTTTCTCATGCTCAGTGCTGTCTTAACTGTGTGCATTGTGCATCTAAACCTAGATAGCTAAGAGACTTCACAGCAAAAGCATTTCCCATACTCTTTGGTATAAGACAGGACTTTTGCAACACTGCAGTCAGTATTGCAAGATGGTGCTCTTTAACAAGCTGCATACACAGTATGAAATCTGCGTATCTGCAGTTCACACACAGCACAAACATCAGATTTAACCAGGACAAATTGGAAAAGCTATTAAGCAATATTAAACAGTGACTACAAGTTGAAAAAGAGCTTCATAAGTCCCTAAAAAAGCACAATTATCAGGTTGTAGAAGAGGCTGAAATGCAATCGGTATTGATATTTTTTCTGATACGATAGGTTTATAGAAGTGCTTAAATATGTGTTTCCTGGAAGGATCCCAAAAGGGGATAGAAGTCCCCCTTCCTTCCAATTTTTCTGTTATGCTCATCTACCCAGCTGTGGTTGATCCCTAGCTTGCAGATGAGATGCGTACCTTTTAATTGTAAATATTCAAAACCTTTGGGAAGCAGAAAACGCACATTCTTTACCATACACAATCTGATTTTCCATTATAAAACTGATTAATATATTAGCCAAGCTTCTTGGCAGAAAAGCAGAATGGGATGATATACAGAAAGGTCTTCAATGATCCATCGGTTTAATGAAAGGCATGAGGCCATTCAGAGGTATTAGACAGCCACTTAATTTAGCTCATCTGGTACATAAATCTCCACATATCCCACTCTGTGAATGCTGAAAAGGTGAATGAGGAGTTTCTGCTGTTAGCACATAGCTTTGTGGACCGACATAGTACTTCTTTAAAGAGTGTGAAGTTTGTATCCTGTGCTCTTACCTCTCCTGTTGCAAGTGGTAATATATATTGCTAGTTCCAAGCAGCTTAATCTGAGAAGGGTAATGCAGTGCTAGTGCCTGTTCTGTCATTTGGTTATCTCTCCCTGAATCCTTGCCAGTAGACATACATAACATGAAATCATTCAAACATGCGAAAAGAAATAAAGGAAAACATCAGAAAAGCAGAGCACTTAGGTTTCAGACCTTGATCTTGCCATCTGAACCCTGGTTGAAACTATAAAGGATTCAACCTTGCTATGATATTGGCCTCTCTACTCTAATTCACTGCATGTCTGAAGATGTTGGAAGCCAACAGCCCAGTGTGAATGAGGTGCTGGTTTTGCTTTGTTTTTTTAAGTGGGTTGTCTGTTAAAACAACAGTTTCAGACCCACCTCAAAACTTGTATCATACCCACTTATCTCAGGATTCACAAACTAGAAATACAAGGACTGCAGAAACAACAGATATTGCTAAGTTTTCTAAAAAAAAATGAGATGTACATGTAGAATAGTGCCTCCAAGCATTAGAAAGGAGAATGGCAGAGCTGGGCTTCAAGTCTGTCATTTTTCCTGGCTGTGAATATTATGCTCCTGCACTACACAAGTACCTGTCTCTTTCTGCTTTCTCAAAAGCTTCCACTGTTATACTCAACACCTTCAAGTCTCTTTCCACATACACTGGTACTCCAGGAGCTGTGTTACCCTATACCGTTCCCATCATGATGATACTGTGTATATTCATGTTGATACCTGTACTTGTAATCAATTGCCCATTTTTACCACAGTAAGAAGAAAATAGCAGTTAAGATATACAAACTGCATGAATACAGTCTATCCATGATTTCTCATACAGGATCTGAAGTGAATGTAGCAGATTTTTCTGATGGTGACAGCACTGCTGCAAAGACCAGAGTTGTTCAGCTCTCCCTGTCCTTATCTAGCAGAGTCTTGACTACTGTGTGAAAATCAGTGAAACTATAGTTTGTGTATCCAGCAGGCATCTTCCTTATGTCTTCATGGATCACAGACAAGAAGAATTTAACATGGCCTTGATACATTCCTGATGTACCCTTTTCAGAAATTCTCATTTGCAAATGAAAGAAAACATATCCTAAATTGATATACCACTATTCCTGATATTCTTAGCAGGCCACCCAATGGAAATCAGTGAAGATGGTTGAACAGTCAAGCATATGATTCCATTTTGTTCCTAGTTTATGTGTGAACTGTTCTCACATACCCCCTCCCCCACCTACTGTGCCCCCTTGTCAGGATGATAACTGCAGCATCACTCCTTTCAGTGGGGAGCACATTAAGATGTCAGTTTTCCAAATGCTTGCAAGAGCTCTTACATACGATCCTGGGAATGGCAACAGGGAAGCTGATGCAGTGGTTTGTCAATACTGAGGGAGAAGATAGGGCTATGGAGTGTACTGATGTGCAGTCCTCTTGGAACAATTTAATACAATGCAACAGAGACTGTCACCTGACTTAGCAGTCTACAGGGATTGAAAGTTATTTTTCCTAAAACAAGGATATATGAAGAAAAACCTCCTAGGCACCTATTTTCCTACACCCCTACTTCAGGTCTGGCTCCTTTGAGCCAACAGCTGTGAACATCAGTTGGTCATCCAAATCCATTTTCATTTGTTTGATGCATTTCTCTGATACCAACACTTTGTGAAACAACACACCTCAAAACTCAAACCTAGGCTTTGTTACATTTTCTTTTTTTTTTTTTTTTTTACAAATGGGCCCTTCCATTGTCACTAGTCAACAGGAAGATCAGGCATACCATGTCCCTCAAAAACCCTCCTCTTATGCAAGACCTTTTCTCAAAATTATATGCATCCATTTTTTACCTCTTTTCTCTGAAACTCCTGCTCTCTGGGCCACCCACTGCCCTTTAGACAGCGGCTCTTATCCAATAACTTGCTGAGAAAACTTTTCAAATGCTGGCTTTTCCTCATCTGTAGCTTCCCAGATGCTTTTCTTCCACCTACTAAAGCCATCGGCGAAACTCTATACAACTTCAGTGGAAGTAGAATCAGGTTGCTGATGGATAACTGCCCTTATTCCACCAAATCCCAACAACAGATACAGAGTTGGTAACTGTGTGAGCCGGTTATTTTTCTCTATTGTATTATAAGAACACTGCAAAAATATCTTAACTGTATAATGCTGTACGTGTCTGTAGCACTATATTTTGAATCTTACATGAAGTACTTGGCTTTTTCCATTTTATTTCTTTTGATTTCAGGTTCACATGCCAACAACCACTTGCAGAAGAAAAATAGACTGACTCTCCTGGCCAAATGAAAAAGTACATTCCTGATATGGCATCCAGCTGAGAACTTGAGTAGGAAGCAATACACTCAACAGGCATCCTGTGTCTTCCTCCAACCCATCATCCCACCAATTTTCTGTTCTCTCAACACTCTCAGAGACTAAGCATCAGCAGTTCCTTAGAGCTTAGTCCAAGCTATTTTATTACCTTAACCATTTGTTTGTATCAGTGGTTGCTGAACACAACCCTACAAAGGCACAGATTAAGAGAGAGGAAAAGGTTTGAATACAATAAACTGGCCTGAATGTCAGCCTAGAATGCATGCTGAACTAATTTTTGAATTACAGATTTATGAAGTGTGTCTGCATCTTTCTCTCTTGGTGTGTTGTTTGATTGGTTTTGTTCACCTAGTTCTATGTGGTTAATGTCAGGTGCTGGTATGCCCACCAGAATTTCCCTGTTCACCTCTCAAGTAACAGCCTTTTCTTCCAATTCCTCTCTCTTGTCCTGCTACAACAGCAGACATTCCTGATGCAGCAGTCCTTGCAGGAATCTGGGTCTGTGATACACCTACAACCTCAAGGAAGACTTGCAGGCTTTTCTGAATAGTCAGACATTTATTTTGCTATGATTGACAAACTGCTGAAAAGTGGAATAAAAATATAGGCTCAACATTGGATATAATCAAAATGGCCACCAAACTCTAGAAATAAGTATAAGCCATGATAGTTAAGACTTGTGCTGTGAGCCTCCACCAGAACACAGTGACCCTGGATCTGGGAGTTCTCCTCAATCTATTCTGGAGCCGGACAGATAAACAGGGGAAGTTTGACTGCTCTCATCAGAGATTTTGGTATGCCTTTAATCATCCCAAAGCGTATTAATTATGGAGACAAAAATCAAGTTTTACTTGCCAGAATGTTATTATGGAAAATCTAAAATATGATGGAAGGTAGACTGACATTCCTGTAGGCTTGCTTAATCACATATAAGTGTTTATTTACCAATGAACTCCAATGCATGTGTTATGATGTTAAGGGCACATTTTAATGGGAACTAAGGCCCAGTTAGTTAGAATTAAACTTAGCTAGAGGTATTAAAGATAACAGGAAGGGATTCTACAGGTACATAGCAAATAAAAAAACAGACTAGGGAGAATGTAGGCCCCCTCAGGAAGCTCTCAGGAGAACTGGCTACACAGGGTTTGGAGAAGGCTGAGGTTCTGAATGACTTCTTTGCCTCGGTCTTCACTGGCAAAGGCTCTGACCAAACCACCCAAGTCTTGGAAGGCAGATGCAGGGACTGTGAGAATGAAGACCTTGGGCCCACTGTAGGAGAGGATCTGGTTCGAGACCATCTTAAAAAGCTGAACGTGCACAAGTCTGTGGGTCCTGATGAGATCCATCCACGGGTCCTGAAGGAGCTGGCAAATGAAGTTACGAAGCCACTGGCCATCATATTTGAGAAATCATGGCAGTCAGGTGAAGTTCCCAATGACTGGAAAAAGGGAAATATAACCCCCATTTTCAAGAAGGGAAAAATGGATGACCTGGGGAATTACAGACCAGTCAGTCTCACCTCTGTGCCTGGCAAAATCTTGGAGCAGATTCTCCTGGAAGGCATGCTAAGGTACATGGAAAACAACAAGGTGCTTGGTGACAGCCAGCATGGCTTCACGAAGGGGAAATCCTGCCTGACCAATTTGGTCGCCTTCTATGATGGGGTTACAGAACTGATGGACAAGGGTAGAGCAGTTGATGTCATCTACCTGGACTTGTGTAAAGCGTTCGACACTGTCCCACATGACATCCTTGTCTCTAAATTGGAGCAACATCAATTTGATGGCTGGACCACTCAGTGGATAAACAACTGGCTGGATGGCCACACACAAAGAGTTGTGGTCAATGGCTCAATGTCCAGCTGGAGACCAGTAACAAGTGGCGTACCTCAGGGATCAGTGTTGGGACCGTTCTTGTTTAACATCTTTGTCGCTGACATGGACAGTGGGATTGAGTGCGCCCTCAGCAAGTTTGCCAATGACACCAAGCTGTGTGGTTCGGTTGATACGCTGGAGGGAAGGAATGCCATCCAGAGGGACCTTGACACACTTGTGAGGTGGGCTGATGCCAACCTCATGAGGTTTAACCATGACAAGTGCAAGGTCCTATACCTGGGTCGGAGCAATCCCAGGCACAGCTACAGGTTGGGCAAAGAAGAGATTCAGAGCAGCCCTGCGGAGAAGGACTTGGGGGTGTTGGTTGATGAGAAAATGAACATGAGCCGGCAGTGTGCGCTTGCAGCCCAGAAAGCCAACTGTATCCTGGGCTGCATCAAAAGGCGCGTGACCAGCAGGTCAAAGGAGGTGATCCTGCCCCTCTACTCTGCTCTTGTGAGACCTCACCTGGAGTATTGTGTGCAGTTCTGGTGTCCTCAACATAAAAAGGACATGGAACTGCTGGAACAAGTCCAGAGAAGGGCCACGAGGATGATCAGGGGACTGGAGCACCTCCCGTATGAAGACAGGCTGAGGAAGTTGTGTCTGTTCAGCTTGGAGAAGAGAAGACTGCGTGGAGACCTCATAGCAGCCTTCCAGTATCTGAAGGGGGCCTTTAGGGATGCTGGGGAGGGACTCATTAGGGACTGTAGTGATAGGACAAGGGGTAATGGGTTAAAACTTAAACAGGGGAAGTTAAGATTAGATATAAGGAGGAAATTCTTTCCTGTTAGGGTGGTGAGGCACTGGAATAGGTTGCCCAGGGAGGTTGTGAATGCTCCATCCCTGGCAGTGTTCAAGACCAGGTTGGACGAGGCCTTGCGTGGCATGGTTTAGTGCGAGGTGTCCCTGCCCATGGCAGGGGGGTTGGAACTTGATGATCTTAAGGTCCTTTCCAACCCTAACTATTCTATGATTCTATCCAACCAATATTTGTGAATTTGCAATGTTGAATAATTCTGACTGTTGTTTTTTATTAGTAACATCCTATTGCAGAAGAGGCAACAGATCAGTCTGTGCCCTACCCATTTTCATCTTGGGCCAAAACTGTCTTAATTTATTCCATGTGCAAATGAAGTGAACTGTTTCATCAGTCGGACAAGATACCATGACCACTTGTTGCACATCTGCCACAGTGAAGTATAGTTACATAAAAATGAATGTGTTTTTTTTATCTATTCTCAGAAGTCAAAAAGAACTAAAATTACTTGGGTTTTAATACTCTTTTTATAATTTTATTATAATTGTTATCTTAGATAGTTTTTATCTTGCAGAATAATCACTGTGGGGCGTAGTCTGGCTTTTGGCTGCAAACCCTATCTGGAGTTCTAATAAAGCCTAGAACTAAACAAACCCCAAATTAAACCAACCAACCAACCAACCAAATTAACAGTGTCTTCAAGATTTTAAGGAAATTCCAAATGTGACAGACATTTTGTGTCTGGGGTACAATACTCCATAGGAGCAGTAGCAGATGTAGAGTTATGGATCCTAGAGATTTTACACACAACAGCTCAGTAGTGGCCCACAAGGAACTCAAGAAAACCCATGTGTTTCTGATTCAGGTCAGCTTCACAGCCCCTAACCTGTCATCTCTGATAAGTAAGCTTACCAAAAAGTCTGTGAGAATATCTCTGCCAGAGATGTGGTACTGTGTCACAAGAGTAACCAAATGTTATACATCTTTGTCAGACCCACAATCTCAGTGAGATGCTGTGCAGGCATCAGAGCTTCCTTTCTTTAGAAGCCTTGATAATTCATGCACAAACCTCCTCAGGTTGACCACACACCTATTTTGTCCTCCTCAGCATTAAGCGAGCAAGAATTTTTTTTTTTTGCCCAAAATCTCACCATAATTCTTTGCTTTTTCCATTGCACTATCCCAGTCCCACAGGAGACCCATAAAGAATCTTACCCTACAGTCATAACAGGAACAAAAATAAGTGCACTTTATCAGGACTCTCCTATGGGAAAAAATCCTGTTTCACACATTCTTTGACATCTAAGCAAAACTTCTGGCTGCTTCAAGCAGCTGGGGACCTCACTCTTTGTTTTGTAGAGAATACCGGTGTAACTGAGAGGCTACAAAGAGAGCCCAAACAACAAATACAAAGGAGAGAGAGAAAAGAGTAGTCTGACCACTAAGAAAACATGTGATACAGCATGATACCAGAGCTGGTTTTCCTTATGATAGAAGGGCACCAGCCACACTGTGGCACTCAAGCAGTATTAACAACAATGCCAAAGAATATGCAATAATGAGGAACAGGATTATGTGCTTTTCTGTGTTTCAAAATGGGGCAAGAGTTTCCAAAACAAATGTTTCAAAGGCAGAAATGCCCATGCAAACCACTGATGTATAACTCAGCATGCTGAGTGATAAATAACCATCTGGGAATTTGCTCTGCAGTGTTTATTTCTCTACAAGCCTTTTATATTATAACTGAAACCTAAACTCAGATGCTTAAAATTTCCTTTAGAACTAGATAACCATCTTAATACAGTAGATTCCGCAACTCTGCAGTGGGAGACCCTTAGGAACTGCGATGGCAACATCAACCAAGCATCCTTACAGCCTCCAAGTGAATCAGGACTGGAAAAATAATTTTGACTTTAGTCCTCTGAGTCCCTCTGCATGCTTTCTCTCCTTACCTCCCAGAAAGCCAGAAAAAAACCTGTCAGAAATTGTTATTCAAGTAGAAAGGCAAAGGTCCTGAACAGTGCAGTAAGTAGTGTAGCGAAATCCCAATGTAGCATTTGCATGTTTCTACAGCATTTTACAGCAGGGTTGCTACCTATGAACTATAACATGGTGGTTTTACAGAGCCATGGTTATGTAAAGAATTTTTTTCTCATACAAATGCACGGCATTTACATTACAAAGGGAAATCATGGAATAATAATCGTAGAATGGGGTATGTGAATGGCAGGGTAAGGGAAAGAAACCACTGGACATCATATAGAGAGATGTAAAATGGCTGGACCACACTCCTGAAAGCATGAAGTTGTTTCAACAGAACTACATCCTATCAACTTCTAAACCTCTGCCAGACACCACAAAGAAAATTAGTAACATTGCAGACCAAAAAAGTGAAAAGAAGTTAATGAAAGACTACTTAATGTAAAATGGGGTCCCCATTAGTGATGCTAATGTGACTTAAACGAGTCTTATACAGTACAATCATGGGGTGTATTTAAAACTGAAAAACAGACATTAGTGCTCAGGAAAACATGAGAGAAGTATAAATGTTAGCTGATCCTGGAATACTAAGAAATTGACTACCCAGTTTCAGTAGTTCACAAAGTAACTGCAGCTCCTCACTGGTGAGGTATATGTGAGAGGAAAATCAGAACTACACAAAGGACCCGAGTTTGTAAACAGTAAGTAAGCCACAACAGTTTCCAGCAAGATTTTATCAGCCTGCACAGATGAGGTTGAACAATGGTCTTCATTCAGAAGTGCTGGACAAGACCTTGAGCAACCTGGTCTAGTGGAAGGTGTCCCTGACGATG